TTTCAAATCCCAGTTTTATAGTCCACAGTAGCACGTTTAACTGACCTCGGCTTTTCTTCTCCCTCAGGTACATCCACAGTAAGGAGAAGCCCTTCAAGTGCAGCGAGTGCGGCAAAGGGTTCTGTCAGAGCCGCACGCTAGCCGTCCACAAGATCCTTCACATGGAAGAGTCGCCACACAAGTGTCCTACCTGCGGCAGGAGTTTCAACCAGCGAAGCAACCTCAAGACGCATCTCCTCACTCACACGGACCTCAAGCCTTACAAGTGCGCTTCCTGCAGCGCCGTCTTCCGGAGAAACTGTGATCTCAGGCGGCATATGTTGACGCACTCGATCGGGGGACACCTGCCTTCGGATAAAGACTCTGAAGAAGGCAAGAACTCCAATCATCACGATGTGAGTGTGTCAGGGCCCTCGTCTGCTGCGGCAATTTCAGTCTGTGACAGGAGAGGAGGAGGCACTGATCTGGATGACGACGAGGTGGAGGAGGACGCAGAAGAGGACGACGAAGACGAGGAGATTGATCCGGGGCGCCCCGATGATGCCTATTCCTTCTACGAGTCGGAGAAGGTAGAGGAGGACGAGGAGGAGTTGGAGGAGGACGATGAGGAAGGCAATGGAGTGCAGGCGGAAGATCACCCCACCGATCACCACGTGTCCAGTCTTCACCAGCCGGAGCTCCACAGGCCAGACATGCATGCCCATTCTAGCCACGTCCACACTACGCACGTACACAACACACTCCCGCATAAAACACACCCGCACGTCACGCACGCCCACACAACACATGTACATACCACCATCGTCCCCCACTCATCTCATGACCAGCTCCACAGCCACACCTCACACGCGCACAGCCCTCACAGCAACAGCAGTAGAGACTCTGGAATGTTGGGTCCTCACGGTGCCCCGCCCCCCAGACCCGCCTCACATCCACACGCCCACGTCACGCCCCTCTACAGTCACGCCCATGGATTCTACCCGATGGTGGGTGGGGGCGGGTCAGGGCCTCCGGGTCCACACTACCGCCCAGCACACCATGACTTGAAGCGGCCTATTGAACAGGTTCTGGGGGGTCCTGGGCCCTCACTAGGCCCCCCTCCCCTCCTGCCCATGCAGGGGCCAGTACCCATGGGCGGAGGAGCCATGGGCGCAGCCCCACGCCCACCATACCCACTCCATCCCCCAGAAAGACCCAAGAAAAAAGGCTTCATGATCGAGGATATTATGAATGGGTAGTGTCGGCTGTTGCCAGGTAGGGTCTTCATGATCTCAACTCCGCGGTGCAGCGCCGCCATCCACGCCCACACCCACGACGGGCGCGCCCTTGTGTCGAGGACGCAGTGCACGCACGCCCATCACCATTACCACTACCACCATCATCACCTACTGTTATCATTAACGCTGCTGCTGTGCCTTACTACGTGAAGCTGGTGAAAGGTCGTCCGCACCCACACACAGCTTCCCACTAGTCCACTCTTGAAACATCAATGTAAACAAATGTGGTTCAGAGTGACTGACAAAGAGTTTCCTGAGGCTGCCCAACACACAGGGTAAATAAACGTTCTCCTCTCCTACAGGGAAGAGATGGGGGACCACAAGTAATAAACCAATGAGCCGGTGACCTTCCTTCCGCCAACCACTTCAGACAAATTGACTGACCCTGAGTGGAAATTAAACAACTTATCTAGTGAACGAGCGCCAGGTTTTGGAAAAATGCCCTGGCGAATAGTGGAAATTACCAAAGGGGCGACAGAGGCTTTCAAACACTGCCGGGCAGTACTGAGAACAAGGCAGTGTCAGTTGAACGCGGCCGGGTAGTACAGTACTGAGAACGAGACCGTGTCAGTAAAACGCGGCCGGGCAGTACTGAGAACGAGGCCGTGTCAGTTGAACGCGGCCGGGCAGTACTGAGAACGAGGCCGTGTCAGTTGAACGAGGCCGGGTAGTACAGTACTGAGAACGAGGCCGTGTCAGTTGAACGCGGCCGGGCAGTACTGAGAACGAGGCCGTGTCAGTTGAACGCGGCCGGGTAGTACAGTACTGAGAACGAGACCGTGTCAGTTGAACGCGGCCGGGTAGTACTGAGAACGAGGCCGTGTCAGTTGAACGCGGCCGGGCAGTTCTGAGAACGAGGCCGTGTCAGTTGAACGCGGCCGGGTAGTACAGTACTGAGAACGAGGCCGTGTCAGTTGAACGCGGCCGGGCAGTACTGAGAACGAGGCCGTGTCAGTTGAACGCGGCCGGGCAGTACTGAGAACGAGACCGTGTCAGTTGAACGCGGCCTCGCAGGGTCCAACTACAGTCAACTAAGGAGAACTTGTTACTACAGGGTCTTTGCCACATATTGTAATTATTAATTTATTTTATGAAGGAGTTTTTCTTAATATGTGAGACTATAAATATTTTTTTCTACATAGGGTTTTATTCACTATACTTATAACTTCTTTTTAATGTATAACTGGCAATTTTTTGTATATATTTTCTGTATATTTGTAAATAATTGACTTATGAATAAAAGAGGTTTCTACCAAACACGTTATTATTTTCCTTTTTATACACCAATAACCTGCTACACATTGTTATTCCTTTTGCATTATATATATTATATTCATTAAACATATATTCTTTACACATTACATTTTATATATTATATTTATACATTTTATTCATTATACATTATATTATATTCTGTATACATTTTATCATATTCATTATACATTATATTTGATTATTTATATATTATTATATTTATACATTATACATTGTTATTTATCTCTTGTTACTCACTATTATTACAGTACAGTACCTAACATACCCCTAATAAAGTCCATTAAATTGTTTTTTAATTAACCTTTATGCCTATAAACAAGTTGAGAAAACAATAAAAAAATGAATATATGAAGATATATAAATTTTCTGAGTAGATAAATTTGACATTTCCGTGAGGTGGTAATTTATAGTTATCTTCTTGAACAGTGTTTTTCAAACTTTTTTTACTGCGACCCACAGCCAGAACAACAATTTGAAATGCGACCCATTAAACCTAAGTGTAATGATATGAAATGAGTAAATCAAAGACAAACACTGTTCACAATTTTCCTCATATTTAGCATCGACAAAATTCATGTAAATTTCTCATGATCCATTTATATTTGAATTATATGTATCCAATTGTATGAAAATAAAAATATTCTGATTTATTTTCGCGACCCATTTTTATTTTGCGACCCAATTTATTTATTTCGCGACCCACTGAAGGGTCGGGACCCATAGTTTGAAAACCCCTGCACTAGAAAATATATTATATTAAGAAAAGGTATTGGACGTTCGAAAACAAATAATTTTAACTTTTCAAATCACGTTAAAAATTTATTCAACAGTACACTGTAATTATTTGTGGGACTACGACAACAAATCATATATTGTACTGTATAATAGTATATGAAGAAACTAGACACTAGTAGTTTCTAGTGACAAGGTAGCTCATTTCTGCACCCAGCCATATTACCTACATGAAAAAAATAATACACGAAATAGCTAATTTAACCTAATGAATTTAGAGTTATAAACAATAGTTGTGTTGAATTACGAGTTGTTTGGTTCATGTCATATTTAAAAAATGGCTTAATTCTGTAGTTTTAGATCAAAACGAGAGCCTGTGATCTCTATGGAAACAAAACCTGATTAAAAAAAAACTTTTTAATTTTTATAAACTGCTTCTATTGTAAAGAGTTTTGGGGCAATTAATCAAAAGTTCCTACAGTAAAACAAACTATTCAGGCAAACCTTTCGCTCATATTGAAAATATTATTGTTCTTCTGCGTTTCAACACTTAAGGTTTTCTCTCACGTAAACACGTATTCTAAGTAGGTCCATACATTAGACAACAACTATAAAAAAAGAAGTAATTCCTCTTGATGTATGGGGGGAGACATACACACGGGACGCCACGCGCGAGTCTTCTGTTTCCTCAGGCTGGGCGGCTGCTGGATCAACACACACTAACTCTTCTCAGAATCCTCCTGCCTTCCTAGCCAGTCACAGGTAAGAACCACACAGCTCTTGTACTTTGTAATTATTCTCTGATGAATTATGAAAATGGGATTCATTAGGAGGAAAGGTAGACAAGATGATATAGTGTGTTTCTTGAGGGTGACCGGCCGGAGCTGTGGCGGCCATATTGGTGGCTGAAATTTTAGTAACTAATTATTGTGTTTTGTTTATTAGAGCTATTATACGTCCACATACGTTTTAACAAATGTTTTAACAGCAATTTCTATTATGTATTTATGACTGGCTTGAACGTAAATTAGGGGTGAAAGCAAAGAAATGCGAGTTAAAAGCAGCATCGCTCCACTACGCTATTTGTATCTTGTGCATCAAAACAAATTAAAAATCCTGTTAAGAAATGAAGTGTAGTTAAATTGAGTATTGTAACCAATTAAATACTTGTATCGTAAACCAGTTCATTAACATCAGAGCTTATTGTGTATATGAGGATGAGGTAACGCTCTAACTAAAAAAAATATTGTTGGTTATAAAGGCTGTTGATGTCATAATGGATATTGATGTCTTATACCGGCATTGATATGTTATAAAGGCATAAATACGATATAGAACACGTCATCGAGTTTAGATTTAAGTAACAATAGGATGTTTAGTCTTATCTTTTCCCAAGACGCTAAAATATATAATGAACGTATTACTAGTATGTGGAGTAGATGTATAATTTTTTCCTAGGACAGGTTCATGTTGAAGTGGCTCTGACGAAAATAATATAAAGTGTACTAGATTAAGTGGAACCATCACAAATAATAGAAACAAAATCCTAATTAAATTTAATTATATGTTGAACGTTCGATATTATATTCGATTAATGTTTATAAGCTGTTAATTCATTAACACTGAAGTCTACGGTATTTACTGATTAGAGAACAAGCTTTAGGAATAAGGTTTTCAATCATGTTCTCTAAATTGTAGAAACTTTACTGTACTGTACAGCGTTAGTGGAGAAACTAGATTAAAAATTTTTTGCCTAGTGACAATAAGTACGCGTATTGTTGGATTATTAAATAGCACTATATGCTTTTCGGTTTCAATTACTTTTTTATTTGTATTACTTTAAAACCTTGTAGATAATTATTTACCTCAGAAATTAACACGTTGAAATAACTCTGAATGAGGTAATAATGGATAAGGTTGCCTGTAACTATTTTTTATCATAAGTGATTCACCCTCTAGAGTCGTAATTCCAGAAATCGTTTTATTGCCAGACGTAACTTTTTGCTCAGCCGTAAAGAGAATTGGGAAAACAAAAACATGTAGAACAGGAAATTTCTTTTTATTTTTCTTTCTTAATAATGATTGTTGTTATGGTGGTGAGAGGTGGATGTGATAGTGGTTGTAGTGTTGGTAGTGATGAATATGTTGGTGGCTGTTGTAGTGAGGGTTATGTTGGTATAGTTTTGAGTAGTAGTGATAAGTGTTTGCAGTGGTTACGTATTGTGGTGATCTTTGTGGTGGTCATGGCAATAGGATTTCTTGCCCTAGACAGTGGCTAGTTTATTGTGCACCCCGTATCAGTCCTGTGAATAGTGGTGCCACCTGTGATGTTCGTTTAATTGAGATTAGTGGTGGTGAATGGTAGTGGTTGTGGTTGCGATGCTTTTTATGGTTGGAGAAAGATAATGAGAGACTTTGACGAGGGAGATAATTCTACCAGCTGATTTAGGGGAAGGAGGCGCAACGCTCTCTCGATCACTCTCGCCGTATTTGAGTATTAACCTGGCCAAATTAGCCTAGTCCTGTTGTGTATATCCTCACCATCCATCCACCCCTTACACCTCACCATTCATTCTCGCCTTTAATTTACCCGGAGCCCTTCCCCTCCCCCTTCCCCCCATTAGAGCCGGCCCCATTCACCCTTCACCCGCCTACGTCATGTTCCTAGTATCCAGATTACGGAATATTTCGTACAGTACGTAACTCAAAAAGACTTTGTTCAAGATGTGGCCCGAAGTATAACTTCACGACGTCAACAAGAAACTTCCTGTGTTGACTGTGTAACTAGAGGAAGTACGACACTCACATACACACATCGTCAAGAGTTATCCCAGTGTTTCCTCATGTTGCACGAGCTGCTGTATTAAAACCTGTGTAAGATTGAGAAAAAATGGAAAGTGCAGGTCTCAGGCCCCAGGAATAGGAGTAGCCTCATCGGTGAACAGCATCAATGGAGGATGTAAACAGATCACTAGTAATGGCAACACCAGCGTCTGAATAAATGTTATGGGGTAGCAGGTAACAGGAATCTCTTACTCAATGGGATAAAATTTCACCTTCAAGTGGTTATAGGATCCCGGTACTCATTGATTAAAATTTTATAGTTCAAGGGGTTGAAAATTCGCCTACCAAAATCAGCATTACAGCAGCACCAGCACAGCAACCTGTACAGCATCGGAATCCCACCAATTATAGCTGCAAGAACAGCATCACGTGCATTCTTGCAGCACTACTCCTTCAAGGCTACCAACACGGGTACCAGTAGGTATTAGAGCCGTCATAAACAAATAGCTCCTATCTCATAACCGTTGCTACTAACTACAAGCGTATCAAGGACTACCAGTACCACCCGCTACCACCACCACCAGCAGGGCCTCAGCGTCTGGTTAAATGTCACGAGCCTTACCTTGCCTCACCTTGCCTGACTGCTGAGCTCCGACGTCTCCCTGGGGGCGGAGGAGGAGGAGGAGAACCGGTACGGGCGTCAAGGTGATGACCGCCTCTGGTGAGCACATTGGGGGATCCAGGGCAGTGCTGCTTGACTCCCGCCCGCTGCTCATGAAGTATTTGGGGGCTGAATACCTGTGAGAATGAGCGAGTGGGTAAGAGTGCAATAAGTTCTGCTGCGTCATTCATTAAATACCTGGTTTTGTTTAGAATGTCGGAATGTTTGTTTATTTTCGTACTGTCTATAGATTCGTAAAGGGCTCTCTCTCTCTCTCTCTCTCTCTCTCTCTCTCTCTCTCTCTCTCTCTCTCTCTCTCTCTCTCTCTCTCTCTCTCTCTCTCTCTCTCTCTCTCTCTCTCTCTCTTTTATTGCATTCTTTGCCTTCCTGTCTACCAATCGCCTCTGCAAGCTGTTCATCTCATCCATCCACCCCTCCTAACCCTCGCCCTCTATTCCCAAATCTCACCTATCCCTCCGTCACCTGATACACATCCATTCCTCCTGTTACAGTGTCATTCTTTGTAAGTTCTTTTTCTTCCTCCAGCATCCTGTTCTACATCTATTCTTCCCTTTCCATCGTGTTATTTATTAGTAAATTCTTTTTATCTCCTTCACCTGTTCCTGTCTACCACTCTCCTCTACTATCTACCCTTCGCAAAATTCCACCTATCCTCCCCACAACCTATTCCTCCTATCCTTTCTTACGTCTTTTCCTACATTCCATCTCTTCCTCCTTTTAACAACCTAACCTGTTTCTTCCCCCACCCCA